GAGTCCGTCCTCTCTCCATACATGCTTCAGCCTTTCCTCCAGAGCATGGGCCCTCCAGATTGTGCCAGTCATTTTACACTCATTTTTAATAACAAACATCTGCAAAATTAGGCATTTGCAACAATGACTTAACCCTTACAACGATATTCCGTATCATGACAAGAGAGTTTCAGCTGAAAAAACTCAGCACCTCCATACAGCTCTCAAGTGCTCCCAGCAGGGTGTTCATAGCTAGGAAAAAAGAAGGCTTTGGTGAACACAGCCCTCAGCACATTCACCATCTTGAAGCCTTTATAAACCATCCACCTTGGTTTTAATCCTTCCAATCATCTTTTTAGCTTATCAAAGACATGTTTAAGTGAATTTATATCACACCGAGATGTGTTCACACATTGAAAATTATTAACTAGATCTGATACATTACCAACCCAAATAACACCACTAGCACATGACCCCAGGTTTTCACCTTGGCCCAAAAGCAGCAGCTGGAGATAAAAGCTCGAGATTGACTAGTAAACTTCGAGATGCCATACCTTCCTCTGGATCCAGAGCTCCGATCATTGAAGAATGAAGACTTCCCCCGATCAGAGCGCCCTCCGAAACTGCTGTACGCATCCTGTCTGTCCCTTCCGCTGTTCCAGCCGCCACCATCTTTGTGGTCATAGCCGAATCCTAGATTGAACAATTTGAAGGTCACTAAGCAACTAAGCTGCAAGGTATTTTATAATACAACTTCACCCACATCATCTCCATTACAGATCTTTCTCTGCATTTTTCCTTTGAACCTTTACAGGGCATCATTCATTTACATTCACCCCTCTTCACAATGCACCTAGTGCAACCTGCACAGGTTATGTCCATGTTGTGCATATATAGCCACATGTATTTTCTGGGCAGCTTGCCCCTTGAAGGATATTTTTGCTCCACTGAATTACAGCAGTATAGAGTAGGAAGGTCTCTTGCACTGATCTACATTGTGAGCTGGTTAAGACTGAGGAATTACAGCAGTTAACAGCAGGCAGGTCTCACGCACTGATCCACACTGAGCTGGTTTAGTACTTTAATTCCTCAGTCTAAACAGCAGGCTGGTCTCATGCACTGATCTACTCTGTGGGCTGGTTAAGATCGAGGATCGATCTCCCACCTGCACTGTACACAGCCTGGGATTGGTTAAAGGAGCCACTTCTGTTGCCACGGTACCCACCACCACCACGCCCGCCTCTGTCCGAACGCGCAGGACCTCGTCCACCGTAGCCACGGTCACTGTTGAACCGGTTGTCCCTGTTGTCGTGGTAGCCGTTGACATAGCCGTTGCTGCGTCCGCTGTCCCATCCAGGTGAATCTTCATTCAGAAAAAGACACAGATCAATTCACATCCAACACTCAACACTTAGGTGTGGACCTGCTCAACACCTAACCTTGCAGGAGTCAAGCTTTTGCCTTAATAGTCCACACAACAGGATTACATCCAAGACATCGTGACAAGGCAGACCAACTGTGTCACTTACCACTGCCTACACTTCAGTGGAAAATAGACAGGCTTCAATTTCATATCAATTCTCATCTCAAGTGCCAAGCTGTCTTACCATACAGCTATATCAAGTGACATCCATAAATTTATAATGCTAAATTTTTGGCTTTTAATTTCTTGAAGGGATCTTGGAAAATGACAACACTTTAAACATCTGCAAAGTGCTTCAGATGGTATGAAACACTACCTTTTCAGTATGATACCCAAAGTAAGAGGGAAAGTTAAAAGTTCATAACCTGAACACCATTCATTTGCCCATAATCTGGTGACCAAAACACTCAGATTTTTGGGAAAAAAAAAAAAAAAAAAAAAAAAAAACCTGCTTCTGTTTTGAGAGGTTCAACTTCCAGAGTCCAGAGGGCAGAACAGGTACTGCTCTTTTCAGATTACCATCATGTACGAACATATCTGACCAAAGGATTCTGCGAAAAGGCCATGGAAAGCAACTAGGTCACTATTCAAAACAGTTTCAAAGGAAAATGAAGCTGGACAACCTGCAAATCCATCTTCTCACCCGGTTATATTCCTGGTTGGCAAAGCAGGATGGTATTTAAAATAAGACTTCTAAAAACTATTTTATCCCACCCCACTGCCCAAAGACCCCCAGCTGATACACTGGAGCTGCAGAGTAAATCAGAAGTGGACCTGTGGATGGAGCAGAGGCATCATGCCACATTGCAAGTAAAGATTTACCAGAGCGGTCGGCCCAGCTCAGCACGCTGGCCGTGTCATCGATGTCGTCGGTGGCGACACTGCAATCAGTGCGGGCCGGGGAGGCTGAAAGTGACACAGCGTTACCAACCAGAGCCTCAATCCCGCTTAACGCACCCACAGGGCCGTCCATTCCTCAAGACAGGTCAACTGTCCACAAACCACAGCTTTATCATTCCATAGCCAATCACAATACATCCACAGAGCACTCCATGCAATCAGAGGTATGAACCAGCCAGTGATACCACTACAGCCAACTCAACAGCAAGGTATTCCTCAAGCTGGCTCACCAAGAGGGTTCCTCTGTGCTACTGGATAACCAGAGTCCAGCACACTGGACTGGCATGTGTCTAGCTGAGCTTGCAAATAAGCTCAAATAAGCTCCTGTTTGATCCGTAGCAATTTACCACAGCTTTTACCAAGTTTAAGTACCCAGATAATAGTTTTAGTGTAGTTATGTTTGCAAACAGCCAATGCCAGGCATATTGTGCCTTCTGAACTTACAGTATCTCTCATCTCTAAAAATATGGATTACCCGAAGATACCACTTAACCCAAAGTGTGCAGGCAGGCACACAGGTCAAACATGTTGCAACACCATGCGAGTCACATTTCCAAACACGTTTAAATTCCACGTGCGTTTAAGTCTCCATCTGAAAGGTAAGACTTCAATCTGCATCTTACAAACCACAAGATGCATACACGCGTCATCTTGAACCTCAAGCCCGGGTAAAATGCAATTGCATAATAAGGCAATGCTATCAAACACAATGCTGCACTCTGGATGGTGCAAAGTCAAAAGCTCATAAGATTAAATTTCCAACCACCCAAACCAATACAGAGCATTATTCATGCCTGGGTCATAGAACAAGTTTGTCTGGCAGTTAAAAAGCCAAGCAAAAAAAAAAAAAACTGCACCATTTAAAATGCTTCCAGCAAGACCTGAGTAACAGAACACAGGAAAATGGGCTTGTGCCATAAAAACAAAGGAACTGTAATGGTTTATGGAAGGTCATTAAAAAGTATTAAAAAAAAAAAAAAAAAAAAAACTCTGTTGCCTTCAGTCCTGATTGGATATGTCCTCAATTCAATAAAATCTGGCGTGAAGACAATTTCTAGAGTACAAAAAAGTAAAAAAAAAAAAAAAAAAAAAAAACCTAGCAAAGGCTCTTACTTTGCATTGCCCAATACAGAAGGCAAGGATAATCCTTCCAGGACATTCCATTACTATGCTGCAGACACAGCACACCGGCATCCCCTGCAAAATGCCATGGCTGTCAAAGTTCAAAGGGCAAAAGTCAAACACTTGAAGCTGAAAACAAATCCGCGACAGAATGCAGACAGCACGGTTCATTCAGCACAGCAGACAGCCCTCCAAATGGAGGACCCGACAGGAAGCTGCAGCAGACCTGGGCATCAATAGGTCTATTTGCCAGAACTTTAGCAGTCAATACTCAAGTCTGACATGATCATGCAATGCTAAATACAAAGGCCAAGACCAAAAGCAGCACAACCAGATAGCCTGATCGTAAGAGTTGACCTGTGACCAAGCTCAGACTTAGCACAGCCAGGCCCCAGCCATCAGAGGCTAGGTTTAGCAGACTACCGCCAAATGGAGATTAGGAGCAGCCTTGCCCGCTGGTAACATGCAGATAAGTGCAGGTTTACCGCATCTCTCTGGCCAGCTGCCCCTGCAAGCCTGATAAAAGGCGAGCTCCTGGGACCCGTATCTCACGTTACCTAAGAGGAAGTACAAGGCCCATCATCAGAAGTAGATCAGGAGAAGTGAGTGCAGAAAATGCCAAAACACACTTCATGTAGTTACCAGTCCTACAGTCATCCCAGCCATTCGCACAGTAAGAGGATCTGCGCTGTTGGTTGCGCTCTGGACGCCAAGACTGAGGAGACCATCTGGGGGCGACTGGGGATATTTTATTGCGTTGGGGGTGGAAACAAGAGGCATCAGGTGAAAACAACAAGAACAGACTCAGATCAGAGGCAAAGCAAGGCAGGCTATGCCCAGTGCATCAGCCAAAGCTGGAGTCAATTACACAGTAATCCACACATGATCCACACCCTCCATTGTATAATGGAGATATAAAGTCAATATGAATAAGGTGAAACTACCTTTTATGGTAATTTCTATAGCCTACAAACTTGAAAATAGAAACTGTTTTCCATTTGCTGGGAGTGAAAACAGGTTTCCTCCAAGCGCAGAGAAAAGCATGCACTGCTTTAAAAGAAAGAAAAAAAAAAAAAAAAAAAAAAAGAAGTGAACCAATAGGCTTCAGTAAGGAATGAAAACAAATTTAAAAACTTTGCAGACGTAATCATTTCTTTTTAGAAAGGTCTACACTACCTCTATTAAAAGCACTCTATAAATAAATGTAAAAATCAAAGCTGTAAGCCATCAGCTAGTTAATGTTAGCAGTGACTGCATCGCACCACCACAAATGTTACCCATCCCAGCTCAACTTACACACTCCCAGAAATAAGTCTGAGGCCATCATACAGCCAAACACCGCTGAACATGCAGCTTCCATTAGACAGACACCACTTTTTACGACACCATACTTGCATCCCCAGACAATGAACGCACTCTCATCTAGCCAAAATACAGTAGCGTTACACTTAATTAGTAATTTAGCAGACTAAACCAAAGGGACTTAGTTGTTTAGAATAAGCAGGGGTTAATCCCCCTCCAGCAATGTGGGGTCGAGGGCCTTGCTCAAGGGCCACAAACAGCTTTACTGATCATGAGGCTACACTGGCAATTGAACCAACAACCATCGGAGTCCCAGTCTAATACGCAAGCCACTAGGCTATAGAGGCCACGCCCATTTTAAAGCAGAATTAACAAAATAAGCAGACAAATTTACTGAAAACGGGACAGAGGTACGCAAGAAAACTGCGGCCAAAAAAGTGATAAATGATATATTTGCAAATGAAATGGAACCAGGCACATAGGCAATTCATTGCTCCTGTAAGGACAGTAGAGAACTGACTCATTTGCTACAAGTTCATTTTCTTACAGTCTAATCTCAGTTTTCCTTTTCAGATGCCATTACTGCCGAAGAAACAAAATTAAAAGCAAAAAAGCCAGGGACTCATTTCGTCCACACACACACACACAAAAAAAAAAAAAAAAACCCTACAACAAATGTGAAAGGGGCTCATGCAAAGCGAAAGTACCCATCACCACTTCTTCAAAGGTTTCCACCTAGATATGCAGTGAGCAACTGCACATGCAACCAAACTTGCATTTTTCTCCATAAACAGTTTAACAGATAAATTGCAGATGTTTAGTTGCAACACCGATCCCACCCAACCTCAAATAACATTTGGGCAAAATAATCATTAGAACGTTGAACAATTATAGGAACACCTTTATGAAAGCCAATCTCAAGGGAGAAGCCTTTTTGAATAAGCGACTGCACATTGGCACTGACGGCATGTGCTTGCCACGTCATGCTTCCACCAGCGCATAAGCATAATGAAAAGCTGTCAGAATACAAACTTACAGCTCTGCATTGGTGCCACTGAATAACTGCTCTGTCTACCAGAGGCAAAAGCACTTCCTGTCACGGAAAAAATGAAAACAGTCAAAAGAATTAAGGAGAAGAGGATTTCATAATTTCACAATAACTACATGAACTCTGAATGGATTTCAAAAAAATGCGATTTTTGAAAAAAAAAAAAAAAAAAAAAAAAAGGACCAGTCAGAGGGTTACTCATCTAAATGACCAACAATTGGTTTGAAATCAGTCTTAGCATTCCAAATAAATCCTGTTGCCATGATACCACGAACAAAACCGAGATTTTTCTTTGGCAGTGAAATGCATTTGCGGGGAAAAGGCATTCATATAGTCCAACATAATCCCAGCCCCTTGTAACCACAAGAGATGAAAGATCTTAAGCCAAGTTGTTACATGCTCAAGCATTCCAAATGCAATATGGAGTAGAAGCCAAGAACTTGGCCTCATTGGTAATGCAAGCCAAACATCCAGAACAGACTTTTACAAAGATTTAAAGCTGCAGTAAGGAAAAAAATATTTCATCATAATTTAGGTTGAAATAACCAATTTTCATTACTGCATGTCAGCAATATTTAATTGAACGGTTCCTTTAGAACATTGTGTCTCAGAGCCCCTAACCCTTTGTATTGACCGTTTTTTGAAAACTGGATCTGGTCTGAGCCAAACAACCAATCAGGGTTGGCTTGCATGCAACTAGCTGATCACAGCAACCCTGCACTAACAAAGGTCATCTGTGGTGTAGTGGTCTCGTTTTGGCAGGCGCTCACAGAAGTTGTCAAGATCAACAGCAACTTGTGCTAAATTTTCAGTGCCTCTTTTGCCTATAATGGTGTAAAGTTATAAAAATGCAAAAGAAGGAAGACAGAGGAGGAGCAGAGAGAATCAAAAGGGCCTAAAAGAAAGATCAAACAAGGACGAGCATCGGAGGCATTTCCAACATGGCGACAGTTGCGCAAGTACATGAGGCTGAAAGGTGAAACAGAAGTTACTCTATTCCATCTTAACAGGTAAGTGCTAATGGTAGCACTACAAGTCATCTGTGCAAAGTTGATATCTAACCAAGACAGCCAAGTCAAGCTAACTTAACAAAAATAAGCTAGCAATGTTTCCGTAGCTAGCCTTTTGTTAGTCTAGTGAGCCCCCCCAGACTAAGGAGCGACAATTTTCGTCGCTCGAAAATTGTTGATCGAAATGACGAAAAGTGACACTGAAATGGTATCTGTCATGGATTCTGAGGATGAGTCCAGTTAGAACTAATTAGTAGTCCAGATTAATTTTCTTGAGGAAAATCTTAGGAACGGCATGGTATTTCGTCAAAAGATCAACAGCCTATGACATCGACAGCTCGCCCTTGAAATATTTTAATGAATGCTTTCGGGCGTGATGCATTTCCTTAGCCATTTTGTCCACATATACGCCAGTTGGGAAAGAGTTTCATAGTCAACAACAAATGTGGTTGCTGAAAATCATGCAATATTTCCTAGTACAATTATCTGTGGTGATGCAGCCAGAGACCTGTTCTTAGAAACAGGCAGCTCAGGGAAAGAAATCAGGTCATTGGGACATTTGGTCATAACTGGAGCAAAATGTAGTTCAGCTTATAATGCCATAAGAACAAGGATTGCTTGACAGTGTATGCAAGGACTTAACTACATCTTGTTCTGTTTGACTTGAATACTCCAGCTGTGCTACAAGCAGCTAGACGAGTATTTAGTTGAGTAGGAACATCGCTGACAGATTTCAAATTTCATAAATTAGATAAGGCCAACAAGCGCTTATTTAAAAAAAAAAAAAGGTCCTATATTTTCGAACTGCCCCATTCCTAGAGCTAGTGTTGGCTGTGAACAAAAAAATAAATCAACTCTTTCCATACAAATACTTAATTTAGGGGTGTATCAAACAATGCGAATATTTGTAACTTTTGTGGGGAGAGAGAGAGAAAAAAAAAAGTTTTAAACTCAATCTCAACCCCAAATTCTCTATCGTGGAAATCTGTGACTTAGTCCTACCATTGCACATCATGCAACTTTTCTCAAACTCACAGCAGTGACAACAGCTCCCTTCAGGGCTTGGAGTGTGCTCAGAATCACTAGGCCAAAGCCAAATCGGGCAGTTAGCGGCCAGCTGCACTAGGACACCATGCTTGGATGGAGATCCCATTACATTCACTCCGACACCCAATTGACACTTGGTATTCGACTGATGCATGATCACCAAAATGAAACTACACAATACAGCCGCAAGTACCGGGACACTCACTCATCCAACATCTCATTTCAAAACCATGGAAATTCATGCATTTGGGGGTCCATAAAAAAAGCCCTAGGTCAACCTCAACTGAAAAGCATTTATGAAATAAGATTAAATTTGGTCCTCCCCCAATCCCCGTTTTGGAACCATCAGCCTAAACTCCACTCAGACCTTTCAGTAGAGGATTTAACATCCCTATAGGGATGTGCTTCTGTTCCAGTGAGAACAGCATTAGTGAGGTCAGGCAGTGACTATGTTGGGAAAAAAGGCCTGGCTCGAAGTCAGCTTGACAGTTCATCCCAACAGTTTTTGTCCAAGTTCCAGATCAGAATTCTCCAACACCCATCTTGGCAAACCATGCAAGGACCTCACTGTGCATGGGGGCACAGTCAAGCAGAAATGGGGAAAGGTGGGGCCTTCACATACCAGTATGGAGTGCACAATCAAGAGGCCAGAACTAATCATTAAAATTTGTTCCCGTACTAAGGAATGTACACATACTTTTGGTCATGCAGAGTATCGCCATCACTGCCGCAAGAAAATTGTGTCATCCTCAAACATTTACACTACTGATTGCACCACTAGTTAGATAATATCCAAAGTAAAATCATTTTTTTCTACTCAAATTTATCAAAAGGACTCAAGCGCCAAATAAATCCATTACTAGGATGCAGAGTCCTTTGCAGGCTAGAGAGGCCGAAAAAAATTTAATCTTCGACAGTAGTTCATAATGCCTGATCCACATCAAGCGGTTAGCTGAGGAAAACTTTGCTTTGACATGTTCTTAAAAGGATGAGAACTTAATTGTTGGGATAAACCAATAACCAGTTCATTCACGCAAAAGACAAAACATTTAATTTGCTTAAGCAATGGCACAAATATTAAATCAAACCAAATGGAAATTTGACACTCTTAAAAAATGATCAGGCAAAGCCAAATAGACCAAATTTTTCAATCAATGCTATTTAATAGGAATATAATCCAATAAGCTGACAGTCAAATAAAATCAATTTTGCACTGATTATCAGACTTGAAGGAAATCAATTCTGTGAAGAACAGTGAAACACAAATGGATCCTTGCTTAATTTCCAAAATGTGATTCCAGAGTACATCACTTTTTAAGGATTGTACAAAACATTAAGATGCAAATTTAATGCATCAGAAAACAATAGAAATTGCATCTAATGTAACAATGTGCCCTTAACCTGCTTAAAATGTAATACAAAGAAACACATTTCTTCCCGGTTACTCCTTACCATTTTTAGAAGCTTCTCTGTTCCGTAAATGAGGTGGAATGTAACGTCCTAGAGAGAGAGAGAAAAAGAGAGAGAGAACTCAGGAGATATTTACGTAATGGGTATTCTCAGTCATAAACAGTTAACTCACAACTGAACAACACTGAAAATGGAAGCAAATCAGAAATTTCTACCATCAAATTTGGAATAAGAAGAGTGATGGCCTTTATTCTATCTTATAATCACATTTCATTAATTCCTAGGAATAAAGCAAAGCAGTAGTCCAAGATGCACTTAATATGAAAAATGTATGGACCACACCACATGCACATTACAATCATTTAGCAGAAGCCTTCAATACCTCAGGAAAAACTCAATTTTTACAGTGTGACACCCACTAAAGCAATTCAGGTCAAACACCTGACTCGAGGCTTGACAGCAGAGCACCACTTCCAGCACAACCAATGCACAAGTGCTAATACTCAAGTAAGTATACAACACAACCAACTGAGACTAATGTCCATGGTAGACCACAAAACAGGCACAAGGATACTTACTGCCACCTCCACTCTGTCCGTCAGAGGAACAGTTCAAGTCCAGACCAGCAAGCTGTGGAAGGGGAAAACAAATAAATATTATCACTCATTCAACAAATCAGACAGTTCAATCTGTCATTTTGGAGACTAACATTTAATCTGCCCATTATTCAATTTGCATTCCTACACACTGGAGTACAGGCACCTCCGGTCAGAAGAAAATAGGCTGTGTCCAAATACAAATGGACCACACCACATCTACACTACAGACATTT